CCCTCCCGTACCGTTCCGCCCCTGTGCACACCAGCCAATCTAAGCCTAGGGCACTTCCAATTAAATACGCGTCAAGAATAATTGTATTAATTATCTGTTATTTCTTTAAATCTCATAAAATTGTCTGAAACCACAACTAGGCCATCGAAATATTGTGCAGGGTGGTGGAGCTGCTGCCGCCTTCCCCCGCCGCCCCCCTTGTCCCCCCCCCAGAGCGCCATGGTGGCTAGGAGATGTTAACTACCTCGTTTGGTATGCAGGAGGTCGTGGGTTTGATCCCGATCCTGGCACCTGCTGTATATTTGGAGTCTGCGGTGTCTCTCTCTCTCTCTCCCTGTGGTCGCGTTGATTTTTCTCCGGGTCCTCCGGTTTTTCCTTCCCACATTTTCTATTTGGCTGCTATCAATGAGGTGGTGTCGTGGCCAGGTCGCTTCTGAGAAAGAGCTACATTTCTCAGTGGGCCCTTAGCTGGTCAAATAAAAAAATAATTGTTTTAGAGCAGCAAGAGAGTGGTAGCGCATCAGGCGTTGGCGCATGGGTGGGGGTGGGGTTGCGGAAGATAGGAGGAGGGGGGGGGGCTCGCAGGCTCAACACGCCGCGTGTTTACTTAGCGAGGGCTTCTGTGCCGTTAACGGGTGCCGGGTTGACACTTCGCGTTGCGGCGGAGCAGTTCCTGCCGTTAATCTTGCCGACTCGCTGGCCACTTTGTGTGCGCCGTGGGGCCGGCCATTGTAAAAACGAAGGGCAGTGGCGCGCTTGAGTGTCGCGCTTGAGTGTCACGCGGGGGGGGGGGGGGGTCCGGCGCTCGTTGGGCCCCCGCGCTGGGGACTGCCGAACAAGAGAAGGAATTTTTACTGGGTTCTGCGGGATCGCCACCGTGCCGGGAGGCCCGCAAGCGCACTTGTGTGCGTGTGCAAGCGCACGTGTGTGTGTGCAAGCGCACTTGTGTGTGTGTGTGTGCAAGCCCACGTGTGTGTGTGTGTGTGCAAGCCCACGTGTGTGTGTGTGTGCAAGCGCACGTGTGTGTGCGTGTGCAAGCCCACGTGTGTGTGTGTGTGTGCAAGCGCACGTGTGTGTGTGTGCGTGCAAGCGCACGTGTGTGTGTGCAAGCGCACGTGTATGCACGCATGCGTGTGCAACATGCTCGTTCAATTATCTCGTCAACGACGCGTTTAAGAGGCGTTTTGCGAGAGTTGGGCCCGTTGGCGCGGGGAGGGCAGCGGGGTCGGTGGGGGGCGGTGGGGGCGGTGGGAGAGGGGGGGGATGATGATGATGATGATGCGTCACAATGCGCCGAGAGACAGCAACCGGCCGCTGCAGGTCTGGGTTCAAATCCGGACTGGCCGCCCGTGATGATGAACAGCAGCAGCAGCAAATGACTGCAAACGCAAAAAAAATATCGGCAAATGATATTTCTTTTATTTGGCCAATTAACGTCAAATAACGGCTGTACGGTTAAAAAATAAAAAACCCCTCCGCGTTACAGTTAATTTCCCACTTAGCTCGTCGCGTTCCCAGTGACAGAGGTACAAACTCGTGACGGCACGGCCGCTGTGCGTGGCAACGCTCCCCCAATTAAAATGTGGCCACGTGACCTGACACCGATGGTGCACTCGCAACGTACAGCTCAATGATCCGTGGGCTTGGAGACCCCTACGTAGCCTTGCAAAGAGACTGCTTGACTCCGCAGGATTACACGGCGGACCTCCTGGAGTTAAAAGATACCCACAGGCTTATATAGGGCCCCAAAGACTTCTGTCGAAACCTCTATAGTTACATAGAGACCTATGTACGCACATATTAAGGGTGGCTCTAACACCCAAGTGCTCGCGTTCCAACACCAGAAACAGAGAAACTTAAAAAATAAATTGCTTAAAGACACACGGAAAGTGCATGCTGGGTAAATAAAATGGTATTCAGTGAACTGGCACAGCGTGTTAGAATGCGCGTATGGGTGTTAGAACGCATGCTTGAGTGTTAGAGTGTACCTATTGTGTTCGAGCCTATGGTTTCTGTGTAAGTTTAGTAGTCTCTGTGTAAGACTATGGGTCGGTTCTCTAAGTCTGGATTCCCATTTATGTCTATGGGCCTCTATGTAATTATAGAGATTTCCATGAAAGTTATTAGGGCCCTATGCAAGTCTATCGGTATCTCTAACTCGATCGGTTTATAGGGGTCTGTATGTAAGCCTATTGGTTTCCCTGTTGCTTCATATATCAATATATGGGTTTCAATTTATGTCGATGTGTTTCTTTGTCTCCGCTTTCCTCTATAAGCCCATTGGTCTCAATATAAGCCCTTAGGTTTGTTGGAAAATGCGTATGTGAACGTATGTACATATGGGTCTCTATGTACGTGCTTAGGTTCCTTTGCCTACGGGTTCCTGTGCAAGGCTACGTGCCGTCTGCTTTTCCTTGTCAAGGGCAGCACGCGGCGACGATGGCGACGGGGCTGTGGCTCTCCGTGCGACTCTCGGGACCCGTGCAGTAGATCCCGGCCGGGCTCCCTGCGCCCGTTGTTCTTCTGCGCGTTGTCAAATCTCGCGACCGCTGAGTAGCGGTGAGGCTCCCTCGACGCGCCGGCCCCCACCGGCTTGTGTTACTCGTCGCCGGGGGGGGGGGGGGGGGGGGGGGTTATGTAATAGTTGCGTGCGTTCGCGAGGGCCCCTGCCCACCCCCCCCCTCCCGCACCCCCCCCGGCCGCTCGACGTCTCGCACAGAGCAGGAGGAGCCAGCGGAGCCGGCGACGAGCACAGGGGGAGGATGGCAGGCGGGTGAGCGGGTGGATCCGAGGGGTGGATGTCTGTGGTGGACAGGTGAAGGTGGATGTCTGTGGTGGACAGGTGAAGGTGGATGTCTGTGGTGGACAGGTGAAGGTGGATGTCTGTGGTGGACAGGTGAAGGTGGATGTCTGTGGTGGACAGGTGAAGGTGGATGTCTGTGGTGGACAGGTGAAGGTGGATGTCTGTGGTGGACAGGTGAAGGTGGATGTCTGTGGTGGACAGGTGAAGGTGGATGTCTGTGGTGGACAGGTGAAGGTGGATGTCTGTGGTGGACAGGTGAAGGTGGATGTCTGTGGTGGGCAGGTGAAGGCGGATGTCTGTGGTGGTCAGGTGAAGGTGGATGTCTGTGGTGGGCAGGTGAAGGTGAATGTCTGTGGTGGACAGGTGAAGGTGGATGTCTGTGGTGGACAGGTGAAGGTGGATGTCTGTGGTGGACAGGTGAAGGTGGATGTCTGTGGTGGACAGGTGAAGGCGGATGTCTGTGGTGGACAGGTGAAGGTGTATGTCTGTGGTGGACAGGTGAAGGTGGATGTCTGTGGTGGACAGGTGAAGGTGGATGTGAGCGAACGTGACGAACGGACGAGCCAGCGCGTGCGCGTGCCTCCGCTCGCGTCTCCGTTAGCGCGTCTCTCTCTCTCCGCTCCGTGTAGCGACCCACGTCCCGACCCACGTCCCGACCCACGTCCCGACCCACGTCCCGACCCACGTCCCGACCCACGTCCCGACCCACGTCCCGACCCACGTCCCGACCCACGTCCCGACCCACGTCCCGACCCACGTCCCGACCCACGTCCCGACCCACGTCCCGACCCGCGGCACGCTGTGACCCGATCAGAGCCTGGTGTAAGTTCTGCAGCGTTCCGGTCCGGACCGGCGGGCGCCGGGAGAGCGCGGCGCTCCAAGAACGGCGGGCGGCGTGAGCTATCGCTTCCTTATCTCCTCCGTCCAAAGAATTTGGAAATCGGCAAACAAAACTCCACTCGCTCCGGCCCCGGTGCTCGCTCCGCGCTGGCGAGAATACTGCCGAGCGGCCGTGGTGGCGGTGGCAGCGGTAGCTCAAACGGCGGCCGCTATTTGCCCCCGTGTGTAGCGGCAGAGCCGCGCCCCAGCGTGCTGCCACATTTTGCGATGGTGAACGATCGTGCGACGATGGGTTGTGTTATTTTTGCTTTTTCTTATCACGGTTGCTGAGCCACGGGACCAGAGGCACGAAGTGCCGAGCGGTCTCGCGACGAAGCAGCAGCGCTCCCGAAGTGAGTTCGGTGTGACGCGAGTTCCCACGATTCTTCGGATCGAGGGAGGCTGTAAGAACCTGGGAGGAGAGGCGACGGGAGGAGGGAATTTAGAAGTGGAGCAGTGCGAGGGAAGAAGCTGAAAGAGAAGGGAGGTGACCTGCAGTGTGGTGATGGTGGTTGTGACCGTGGTGGTAGTGGTTGAGATGAAACAATTCTTCCGTGTAACTTGGATGTAACGAGTCTGCAGCCTTTAATCACAATCCATTTTCTAACCTTTATTCGGGTATAATGCAGCGAAACGTGGGTAAAGTTAGAATGCGAAGTCAGCCCCGGTGGTGGATGGGCTCCTAAACGTGGGTGGAGGAACCGTTGAGTGAAGTTCATGGGAACGGCGATTGCGGTCGTAGCAATGGAAGAGTGATGATGATGGCGGTGGCGGTAATGATGGTGGCACCATGTGCCTCTCCATTCCTCTCGCCGTCGCCTGGGCCATCCGGCGACAAGGAGGGGGGGGTTGGGTGGGGGGTGGTGGTGGGGGGGGGGCCACATCCCACGTCGGGTCAACTGGGGGAATCGCGTTGCTGCGGGGAGACCTGCGCCCTGACGTCGCTTTAATTTGTTAGATTACCTGGAAAAAAAAAAAAAACCCTCGCTCCATTCACGGCGGCTCGCGCGCTCACTGACGGCGATCGCCCAAACAGAGTCCGCGGGCTCCCACAATCCCCTCGGACAACGCTCGCCCGAGAGCCTCGACGGCACAAAAGCCCCGGCGACGTTGAGTGATCGACCCACAATCGGCGCGCGCTGCGCCGCCGCTGAAAGGCGCGGCCGCTCCCCTTTGTGCACGGCGGGAGCGGCGTGTGGGGAGACGGCTTTCGGCGGACAAAGCCCACCCCCCCCCCCCCCGCGCTCTCGCATAAAGACGCGTGGTCGCGCGGGCCGCCGCGGGGTTTTTAACGGGGCGGTTCCGGCGCGTCGCCCAGGATTTGCGTGATCACCGTGGCCGAGTCGCATCCCGTGCTGGGCGGGGGGCGCGACGTCGCCGCCGTGGATTACCAGATCAGCGCCGGGTGCAGCCGCCTCGACAACCGCGTCTCCGGGAAGAGCAAGCGGGTACGCAGCCCCCACCCTCCCACCGCTCCCGCTCTCCATCGCCCCCCTGCCCCCGCAGCCCGCGCACCCCCGCCCCCATCCTCCCCCCCCCCCTCCCCCCCGCACCGCCGCTGCGGCCCGCACCACGCAACAACCGCAACCCCCCCCCCCACCTCGGTGCTCTGCTTTCCAAACACCGCAAACGTTCGACGATGTTTCGGTGGCGCGACCCCATTTCGAGTTGCGCCGCCACGTTCCGTTTGCCGCGGCCCCCTTGCTCTCGGACGTCGCCCGCCCTTCGTGGGGTCGGGGGGGGGGGGTCGTCTTCCCGCGTGCCGTTTCGGCGCGACGTCCCCCGACCGCCTTCTTGGAGCTCGTCCGGAACGTCACGGACGCCGTTGCCCACGCGGCACAGGCCGGGAAGGCGCGTCGCCGGAGAGCGGCGGCGATCCGCGCGCGGCCCCGCTCGGCCGCTCGACCGCTCGACCGCTCGGGCCACGTTTGTTTTTGTTCCGCAGGGCGGGCAGTTTCTCACCGAGTTCTCTCCTCTGTGCCGCATCACCTGCACGGACGGGGAGCAGTACACGATCTACAGGTACCGCCTCCGTGTTTAGGGGCGTCTATTTACTTTTCCGTCACGATTGTTGCAGCTTTTCAATCCTGCCCATCTAATTACAAGTTTGCCCGGACCCTAAGACGAAAACATCATTATATATTTTTTGTTATTCCGCCAAGAAGCCAAAGCGCACGAGGGCATGGGAGCACGGGGCGTGCGCAACCCACCGCGTTTCTTCTCCCCGGCAAAAACCTCCATCTTCTCGTCTTCCCGTCACCGCGTCCACCCGGAGCGAGAGAGAGAGAGGTGCAGGGTCGTGGGGGTCACGGGCTAACAAACGGCCACATGCCACTGGGCAGCAGCGCAGCAATTCCCCAGCTCATACCCCGGCCCTCTGCGTGACCTAACCCTGACCTGGGCAGTAAAGGCGCACGCACAATTACGGCCTCCATCGTTAGGCCTGTCAGCGCCGCGCAAACATGTGGCGTGCCGGCTTCTCGCTTCGCTTGAGTCCTCCTCCCTTGTGCCGCTGCTGTGGCTGCATCAGGGGATGGCAGGGGCGGCGAGGGAGCCGTGCGTCCAGGGGTCGAGGGGTCACGTTAGTTCACTTGTTTTTTTGCTCGGCGACGGTTAGCGGCACATCTGGAACCGTGTGTGCCGGGCCCGCGGGTCGTGTTCCCATCCCATCCGTGCGTGCGTCCGTACGTCCGTTTGTCCCGTCGCTTGTGTAAGCGCAGCTCGGTGACACGCGGCCGCCCCCCCCCCCCACGCACCCCTTACCCCCCCCCCACCCCCATCCCACTCCGCCCCCGCCCCCCCTGGCCCAAGTTTGATGGGGGGCGCGAGGCCCGGGTGCTCCCGTGGAGAAAGCGTTTGTTCGTTGAAAATCCGTTTTCTTGGAAAACGAGCGCGGGGCTGTGCGGCGGCGGCGGTGGCTGACGTCACCGCGTGCGCTTTTGTCTCCCCCGCTGCAGCTGCATCCGCGGGCGACTCGTGGAAGTGAACGAGAACCTCATCGCAAATCCGCACCTCGTCAGAGACAAGGTGCCACCTCCTTTGCGGGGAGCGGGGGGGCCCTGGCAAGACGCGCACCGGCGGCGGCGATTAGCGTTCGCGCAGGACAACAGTTGCGAGCGGCGGCAGCGGCGGTACCGCCACTAGCAAGCAACGAAAGCGACAGCATTACGAGTGGGATTTGCAGCAGTAACAATAAATGCAGCAGCGGAAACAGCAGCGGCGGCAGCAGTGGTATCAGCAAAGGCAGCAGAAACAGCAGCGGCAGCAGTAGAGCCGCATGTATGGCTCTGCCGCTGCTGTGCTTGCGAGCGAGCCAGCGATCGGGTAACGGGATCTGCGCGTTGCACAACAGCGCGCCGCGCACCCAACACAGGCGCGCAGATGACGACGGCTGCATCTGATTGACCCTCATTATGTAACGCCAAGTCGCGCGTGCGTCCGCTCCTAGCCCGCTCCTCGCCTGATCCTAGCCCGCTCCTAGCTGCCTCCTAGCCCGCTCCTAGCTCGCTCCTAGCCCACTCCTAGCTCGCTCCTAGCTCGCTCCTAGCTCGCTCCTAGCCCACTCCTAGCTCGCTCCTAGCCCGCTCCTAGCTCGCTCCTAGCCCGCTCCTGCCTACTCCTAGCTCGCTCCTAGCTCGCTCCTAGCCTACTCCTAGCCCGCTCCTAGCTCGCTTCTAGCCTGCTCCTAGCCCGCTCCTAGCCCGCTCCTAGCCCGCTCCTAGCTCGCTCCTAGCCCGCTTCTAGCCCGCTCCTAGCTCGCTCCTAGCCCACTCCTAGCCCGCTCCTAGCCTGCTCCTAGCCCGCTCCTAGCTCGCTTCTAGCCCGCTCCTCGCCCGCTCCTAGCTCGCTTCTAGCCCGCTCCTAGCCCGCTCCTAGCTCGCTCCTAGCTCGCTCCTAGCTCGCTCCTAGCCCTCTCCTAGTCCGCTCCTAGCTTGCTTCTAGCTCGCTCCTAGCTCGCTCCTAGCCCGCTCCTAGCTCGCTCCTAGCTCGCTTCAAGCCCTCTCCTTGCCCGCTTCTAGCTCGCTCCTTGCCCGCTCCTAGCTCGCTCCTAGCCCGCTCCTAGCTCGCTCCTAGCCCGCTTCTAGCTCACTCCTAGCCCGCTCCTAGCCCGCTCCTAGCTCGCTCCTAGCCCGCTCCTAGCTCGCTTCTAGCCCGCTCCTAGCCCGCTTCTAGCCTGCTCCTAGCCCGTGCGTACGACCAACTACTCGCACTCGGCTGGCAGCTGCCCCGCGCCCGCTGTCCGCGCCAGTGCAAGGGGAGTCCAATGAAGTCAGCGGTATTCCGCTCTTGGCCACCTCTCCAAATGACAATGATGACAGTAATATTATTACTACGATTACAACGGCAAGAGCTGACGTTCGCCACGTAAGTGGCGGTGACGTCGCCACGGCGCTTGCGCCAGCCTAGGTGCACTAATGCTACGCCGTCGTTATCGGCAGCAATCAAGCCGCAGTCATTTCCCACGATGGCATGATGTAATATTCTCTCTTCTCGTGAGCCGTGATCCTGCCTTTCCTTCCATTCAGCTCTGCCCATGACGAAGTGTGATGATGCCCACGGTTGCGCACAATAGTGAAACGCAAGCCTCCGCACAAGGGTGTGGTCAGTAGGTGAAGAGACTTCTACTGATAAGTCTGTAACCCGTGCCGGTGAGGGTTTGGTAAACATTGTGCAATGAATGAATGGGGTGGGCGGGGGGGGGGTGTAACTTGCCATTATTTTTGCCCAGATTTTTCCGCGAGATAGCAGACGCACAGCCTGCCCTTGCACAGTTGCACATTAGAAGAGCGGCAAGCTGTCGCTATTCGTTTTTGGTGCCGTAGCTCGGCGAGCCACTCGGGGGGCCACTAGCGAGGCCTTTAGGGGCCGGATGCGGCCTGTGGGCCGCCGGTTAAAGCTCCCTGCCATGTGTGACGCCAGCAGCTGCATCTTGCCGAAGCTGACGGCTCCGATTAATCCTTCGCCGTGTTGCTGCTGCTGCTGCTGCTGCCCACTCCTCCTCCTCCTCGTGCCACTCCCTTGAACCCTAACCTCCCCCCACCCCCACCATCCATCACCCGAACCGACGGCTGACGACCGCCCACGCGTCCCCCCCGGCAGCCGTCGTGCGAGGGCTACATCGCCGTTGTGCTGCCCAAGTTTGAGGAGAGCAAGAGCGTGACGAGCGGCCTCTGCGACCACGCCGAGTACCTGCGGGTGCTGGCGACGCGCGCCGCCGCCACGGTCCCTGCCGACGGCGACGTCACCGCCGGAAGCGCCGCCGCTACGACCCCCACGACCCCCACGACCCCAAGCGCCGACGGTCCGACCGACGGCGAAGTTTGCGAAACCGATGGGACCAAGACGGAAGTGCAAGACGTCGTCTCTCAGAGCGACGCGTCTAAGCCCGACGCGCGCATGGTCGACGGCGGGGAGAGTGACGCCTGTGAGATCGCCGTCTAGATGACCGACGTCTTGCGATGGCCGGTGTTGCTGCCTGTGCGAGCGACGCCTGTTTCCGCCGGTGTCTGTGACGACGATGCCGCCAGTGTGGTGAGATCGTCCCGGCCGTCGCCCATCGTGTTTTCCGTGAGCATCAGGGGAGCTTTTTATTTCCGTTTAAATTTGTCGACGATGTTGTTACTGGTGCCGTCTTCTCTGCTGCTGAAGGCAGCCCCCCCCCCCCCCCCCCCCCCCAGTGTTTCTGGCTCATTCACAAAAAAATGCACTGGCCGTGTCTCCATTGATATATCTACCGTTGGTTTATTTCACTAAATACTTCGGCATCGCGGGACGAAGATTCTATTCGGACCTCTCGCAGACAGCGGTGCAACCCCTTCCTGTTAAAGAACAGCACGCAAAAGCGGATGTCGCAGAACTGCCTCTGAGATCCGTTTCGGTGACCAGTGCTGAGCCCATCGCTTCGCTGCACTCGAGAGGCCGGTTTCATCGGGAGGCAACGGCTGAAACCCGGATTCGAACCCAGGTTCCCGGCGGTGCCGGCTCCGCCGTCCTCTGACCTCCGAGGCAGGCGGCCACTACCACAGAACTATACAAGTGAATTGGCTGTTCGGTGCGTCTGAAATGTTATTTAAAAAAAGCTCCCTTTTGTCATTTACTGTTTGTGCAAAGAGACAATTTGATTCGCATTTCTTGGCAAGTAGAAGTTTTGAAACGTGTCCCGGTATCTGCCGCGTTTATTAACTTTGCGCGGCAGAGAAAATACGTGAGAATTTCGCCCACGTTCGTTACGCTCGTCACACTTTTGTGTGTTTTGCTTTACGGTGACCGGGACGAGACCATCAACTCGCTACGCTTTAGAAAACCTCGCTTCATCGCAACTCCCCTCTGCGCGAGCCCGTGGCTCTCCCCGCGAGTCTTAGGTCACGTATTCTCAGTCACGGCTCCGGCTCTATGTGAGCCGTGCTTTTACCAGAGCCGGCTCCGAGCACAGTCCCACTCAGGGACCGGCTGAGAACACGGTCCCTGAGTGTCTCTCGGCGTGAGTCGTCGGTGACCGGCACCCCAATGGTTCAGGATGAAGTGGGGGGCGGGGGGAGGAGTGTAACAGTCCGCAGGGCTGAAGGCGTTGGTGCTTGCTGCTGCTTGTGCTGTTGTTGTTCACGGCGAGGCCGTGGCAGAGTTGGTGGGGAGGGCCGCGCTCCACTCTTGCCCCCCCCCCCCTCCGTGCTCTTTGCCCCACGGTGCCACGGCACGACTGGGAACCCTGCCACGGCAAAGGAGACGCGCGTTCCTGCCACGGGTCGCACCCCCCCTCCCCCCTATCCCCCTCAACCCCCACCCCTCTTTTTCCCGGGAACCGAATGAGCAGTGGCACGGGCGAGGGGGGCACAGCGCTGGGCCTGACGATGGCAGCCGCATTCTGTGTTTTTTTTTTTTTTACTGCGGAGAGCCCCAGGACTTGGCGAGTTTTACTCCAGCGTCAAGTGAGGAGCACAGAAAACTCCCCCCCCACCTTAGCCAAGCCGCATTGATGGGCGCGGTGAAGTATGGTCAGATATTGCCCGCGCGTTCTGACGCAACGCGGGGGGAGGGAGGCCCTCGTCCAGCAGTAGATTGACAAACGTGCTGTGTGTGTGTGTACGTGGTGGATTGGCAGGGCTGCTGTGTGGTCACGTGCCACATCTGGCTGCTGCTGCTGCGTGTCATCTGATTTGCCGAGGGTCGCAAGGCTAAATGTTCATCCCCCCCCCCCCCCCCCCCCCGCGCGCCTGCGAGAGTGGCTGGCGGCGCCGCGGTTCCAGCTCGGGGTTTTCCTCCCTCTCCCTGGGCTCCAGAGTTCTCACCCTCTGCTTGAAAGGCAAACCCCAACAACAACAACAACAGAGCGAGCAGCGGGCCCCATTTCCCCTCTTTTTCTTCCCGATGACCGCGGATGTTTTTTGTACCCCGTTGTTAACCTGTTCGGCGTGGTATTGTCGGGCTCTCGCGTTGGAGTAAAAGAAAACGCGAGCTAAACGACAGAGATCTCGCTGCGTAGCTTTTCACGGTCGCCGCTGCGCTCTCTCGGGTTCTGTTACCGCGCGCCGTTCGGCACGACGCCCGACGTTCCGTTCCACGGTACCCGGCAGACTTCGGCTCTCCCCGTAGGAAGCTTCCCCAGCACGCGGAACGAAACGTCGGACGTCGTGCCGAGCGACTCCGCGGTCCCGGCCCGAGCGCGGTGGGAGCGCTGTCGAGATAAAAATCAACGGGGCGCCGCGGCCGCTGTCGGTAGAGGCGGTTCGACCTCGCGACGGGGAGAGGCGCCGCTCCCGTAGCTTCGCACCCAGGCTCTGCGCGTCAGGAGTCGTTTGCACCGCTTGTCGGCGAGAAACGTGAACTCCCGTCGGGCGACCTTCGGATGCGTTCGAGTGACGTCACTGCAGTCGGGTATGAAAGGGTCACACTGGTGACGTCACCAGCGCGCTGCGCAAGGTCACCTGCGAATGCTTGGTCGGACTGGCGCGGGGCAACCCGGGGCGCTCGGCCCAGGCGCGCAGCTACAAGATGGGAGTCGCTAGCCGCTTGCGTTTTGCGGATTCTGTTAAGACGTTGCTGCTGCTGCTGCCCCCGCTAGAGAAGCTGTGCGACCACAGACGTGTTCACGGTTTGTCCCGAGAGCAGAAAATGCCCTTTTAAGATTTCTCCTAAATCGGCCAGGTTAATTCAGTGGCTCTTGAAACCGGGTCAAGTCATGGGTACACTTGGTATTCGCGTCGCATGGCACAAGGCTATCATGAAAGAACGCGCCCTTTGCTATCCACGGACTTGGTTAGCAATGGATTTGCAGTTTTGGGGGTCGGCACTTGCTACGTGACTTTCCCAATAATTTGCCAAATTTGAGCCATGACTCCGGCACACTCTGCCTTTCTAGATTTCCCCAGGAGCTCAACGCACCGCAGCCGCGGTGCTAACTGGCGTGGCCGCAGGGCTCGACCCACCAACCTCGGCACCGAGCCCCGGAATTCCAGGCGCCGAGGGCTTGTTGGCCCACGCGCAAATACCGACGGCGGTGTTGGATGTGAAAGCGAACCCTGTGTCCCGTGTCCCGTGTCCCGTGCGCAGATAACGTTTGGAGAGTTCACCAAGTGTTTGCGCAACTGGGGAGGCGCACCGCGCGCTCGCTCGCTGCACCGCACTCGCAGTTTCACGATGTGGCGTTTCTTCCCCCCCCACCCCCCCCCCCCCCCCCCCATGTTAAACGTTATTACAACGTCGACGATTTACGTAGACTTTGGCCGGTGCACTCGCTCAGTGGAGGCATGCAGAGGCGCTAGAGATTGTAACGGACTGGGCGACGCACGTAGGCTTTGGGTCGGTTTTATTCCACCTGCTACTGTACACAAGCTCAACACTTCACGCGCTCGAGGGTTCGCGCATCTCCACTGTGCGACGCCATCCCCCCCCCACCACCATCCCGTCGTCGCGGCTTTGTCAATCAATCGATCAGAGATTTGTAACGCACCGTCGTCGCATCTCCACATCCAAATCCCCCCCCCCCCCTCCCACCATGGCGTTATTGTTCCATCTTTAGTTGCGTCGCCGCATCCTCTCATCGCGTGTCCATGTGGCCTCTTCTCAATCTGCGTTGTCACCTCTCGAGTACGGCGGTGCGTCATCAAGCTCCATCCTCTCATCGCACGTCGCACGCCACTCCAACCGTATCCCGCCGCGGCAAGGTGGCATTTGGTCTCTGCAACAAGGCTCTCTTCTCTAAGACGGCAAGACAGGCTACTCTAGTTAGCATGCCCCAGTAGAAAAAAACACATTTACTACACGCAAACCTACCGCGTAGGAACATGAACCTTCGCAATACGCGTCGCTGCTCCGCGTGAAGAGGGGTGGTGGGCCCTGCTCGCCTGGCACGTGGGAGATCGTCTGGTGGGAGATGTGGGAAGGGACCATTTGGGGAGCTGCGTAGGGGGGGAGGGGGTCACTGGTCCCGCATGGCCTTGCCAAGAGTGGCATCAGTGGAACAACTGATTGTGCTGTGGTTCGGATGGTGAAGTTTGGTCATGGTTCTAATGGTGGATGATGCGGTTGCCAATGGATGATGGTAAGATCCGTGTGTTCATGATGGGTGCTGCCGATGAGTGGAGGTGATGTGAGATGTTGATGGAGGCTAGTGGTCGGTGTAGGTGATGTGGGTTCTGGTGATGGCAGCTGTGTGTGTATTGATGGATGATCATGGTTTTCTGGCAGGGAGTCAAACCAAATGATTTTGGGAACGGTTTGAGTTAAACAAAAACTAATGGAATGGGTTTCTGTTAACTGCTAAAGACCGGTTTCAAACAGGTAAAATTTTTCATCTTTTAAAATGTTTTTTCTGATAATATGCCGTATTCATTGCAAAGCTGAGAGATGTTTTTGAAACGTTTCAACTATGTGTACGTGTGTTGCAGAATACGGTGAGACCTATATGTATGTACGTATATACAACGTATTTCGCACCGTACGACGTAGCGAGAGACAGAAAGACGAACGGAGATGTGCCAACCGATGCCGCTTTGTATCCGTCCCCATCGCAGTCGCGGGGACCGTTGCGGTCTTGTGCCAACGACCAGGCGCGGGCTCTGCGCGTGCGATGGCTCACCGAGTCACCACGGCCTGCTTGGCCTCCAGCGTGATTGGTTACAACTGCCAGAGGAGCCGTCGGATCGCAGCCAATCATTCCTTTTAAGATCCCCGGATAAAAAGTGCAAGTTATTGAACCGGTAACCATATATATTTTTTTTGGTTTTCATTCCAGAGCAACAAATTTTATTTGGGTTCAGCTCTAGAAAATTGACGGTTAAAACCGGTTTCTTGTTTTCGGTTCAACACTCCGGTTCCTGGTGCCAGTGGGCGGCAGTAGGGAGAGCATGAGGAGCGGCTTGCCATGCTGACGACGTCTGGGTTCAGGTGAAGGCCACTCGTGCCTGCGGTCCATACTCCGACGTGGCCACCTCCACATCTGTGGTTCCACCTCTCCCCCCTATCTCCTCGATTGACGAAGTCACGCGGCGGACGGGGGCTCAGCAGCACGTCGCTGCCGCCCCTTTGAAATCCAGTCGCAGAGCGCGGCGAAGCGGCGTCGCTGCACGGGCGTTGCATTATTGGCACGCCGCTTCTTCCCCTAGCCTCGAGGAGCACGCAAGCAGTGTCGGGTGCAGCGTTCTCGTGCGTCACGGACGCAGCGCGAAACCCGGAGGGCCAGGCCAGCGGGCTCGTCTACGAAGGCCCTGGTTTGTTCATCTCGACCGTCGCCGCCTCGAATAACTTCACCGGCGGACCTCCAACGCAACTGCGCGCGAGGCGATTACCACCACAGTGAGCGCCGGTCCCCGTGAGGCTCATGGGGGCAGAGGGGCGGGGGGTCATGACAAGGGGGGTTTGGGAGAGCAGGGGTCACCGGGGGACTTATCTTTGCATTCCTCACCATTTCAAGTGTTTACATTCAAAACTGCTGTTTGTACATAGATAGGAGTCCGTGTGCTTGGTTGGTGGGGCTTTATATTTTATATATATAGATACATATACAATGGTGTACATACACATGTACATGAGTGCTATTGGTCACATGGGTGGGTCACTTGGTGTAACTTCCAGTTACTCTACTTATGATGGTTAGTGGTGGGGGCACACACCTGGGTTTATTGCACAGGTGACCCCCCCCCTCTTTACCCCCCCCCCCTACAACAACCCTAAATTGATTGGGGTGCATCAACAGGTTTATTCATAGGCGAGGTCGGTAATTAGCAAAAAAGTACTGCCTGGTATATTTGCAGCTGATCCAAACTGAGGGTGCTTGCAGTTGGTTTGGTGAGTAATTGGTGGAGGGCTTATAATCTGGATGGATGGAGTAATTGAACTTATGGGTGTATTCTAATCGGCTGGCAGATTGGTGTTAGAGGAGATGGCAGGTTTTATAAATTGTTTCCTCGGCTAATTGAGGGATGTATGGGTGGTTGAGTGAATGTGTGGGTGGGTTGGGATCATTCATCAGCTTAATGGTGAACCCAGAGGTGTGGGTCTTAATTGGTGGACATGTTAATTGACCAAGGGAATGACAGACGCAGAGCCGACTGTAGCCACCAAGGCTTTCACAATAATCTGCCAGAGCTCGAAGTGGACACATTAAACGCGGCAAGACAAGCCCAGGAAGAAGAGTGCTGCACTGGCAGCATAAATTACACAGCTTTGTACAAAAAGCGCCGCTGACCGTGACCCCAAATTTCGACGCAGGGGAGGGCATCTTCAGATCCATGCTGCAGATGGTGGATTATTATTATTAACGTTACACTTAATAAAGTGTTCTCCTGGTGTACAAAAATAGTCTCTTCTCTCTCGTGTGTGTTTGGGGTCGCACTTGCTCTATGTACATGCTCCTGCCAGCCGGCCACCACCTCTGCTCCGTCCATCAGCTGCTCAGCCACGCGGAGAACAGGTCGCATCTTCTATCCACTCCTCACTTGCTCCATCCCTCTTCCATGGTGTAGGGGGCAGCCCCCCCCTACTCTCCCCGGGGGGGGGTAAAACAAAATTTCTATTGGGGACCCATTTTTTACAAGGCAAAGCTGCGTTTTGTTTACCTCTGACGACTCCACATGGGCCCCCCCCCCCTGATGCCCCCCCCGATGGCAACGTGGTGTTCCTTCCACAGCGAGCCCCCATCCCCTAAAAAAAAACCCCGATTTTTTTTTTGGTTCCCACACTGCTTCTGTCTTCTCTTCTCCCCCCACCACCAACCCCGCAAAAAGAAAACTGAGCAAGTGAGAGCCGAGAGGCAGCCGGGCGAGATGGGAAGAGCGAGGAAGCGGTGTTGGCGGTGGAGGCGGTGGTGGGTCGAACCCCACCGGGCCGGCCCCCTTAGGAGCACCCGCACCTGTCCACCACCATGCCGGGGATCTTGCCGTAGATGATCTGCTGCTGGTCGTTGAAGTACAGCATGTTGATGGGCGACATCTTGGTCGGGGTGCAGCAGGGCCCCGCGGAGCCGCGCGGGCTCGCCTGCTGCACGAGGTGCGTGTGTGGGTACTTCTGCAGGAACATGTACTCGCACTGGCCCGAGCAGTAGTTGGCCTTGTAGCGCTTGGGCGCGATGATCCAGTCCCAGCCGAAGGCCTCGAAGTCCACGGTGAGGGGGGTAGCGGCAGCAGCGCGACTCGTTGGACGACTCGTCGCAGTCGAGGCCGATGTTCCTCCGGGAGCGCCGGAACGGCTCGGTCACCTTCACCTCCAGGAAGGGTTGCTGCCGCGCACCACAGGTGTGCACACAGGCGGGCGAATTATACATAGGTCTCCCTCCAGTGCAATCCCACAGGTGTACAGGCGTACAGGTAAGTATGGGTGTGAGTTCACACACGCTCATGCGTGTCCAAGTGCCTTAAGGTGTAGAGAAAGGTTAATACAGAAACAGGTGCATCGACAGGTGAGTGGGTGCAGGTGTATACAGGTGAGCACATACGGCGTCCAATGCCTTTACCTACACGAACGATTGCTGCGAGCAGTCGCGCAAGGTATCTAGACCCAGGTGAGTGCGTGAGTAACACAACATGCGTGTCCCGGTGTATATACATACAGGTGAGTACGCATGCTGGTCTACACCATCGTCACCTCCAGGAATGGTTCCAGCAAACGTATAGGTGGAGGCACAGGTGCACACTTGAGTACAGACATAGATACAGTTGTACGGGTCGCACACAGGCGTGCGGACACCACGGACGTGCGGACGTGTATCCACAGGATGCCCGTCACCACCTCCAGGAAGGGGTGCCGCACAGCAGGTATATAGACACAGGTGTGCAGGGTGAGAACACACGTGCAGGTGTATGTCAACACGTGTACAGACAGGTGGATGTACATCGGTGTATCGGCAGGTTGGTGCACAGGCGAGTACACACACATGCAGATGTACGGGGTGTGTACAAGTTAACAAAGGCAAAGATCCCCCGTGTAGCCATAACAGACTGATGGAGCAAGTGCTGTTAGTGAGCGCATGAAGGGTGGGTGGCCAACAACACGCCCGACCGCCTTTGTCTCCCCAGTGGCGGTGTTTGCACAGCGCACCAGATACTCATTTGAGGCCGAGTCGACCTAGGGGAGGCCCAGGTCCGGTTTAGATAATCGTCACCGGTGTTGGCCTTGAGCGGTAATCGAACCCCGGGTCGCCGGGTTCGTAGCGCAGAGCACAGCGAATCACTGCATTAACGGTGTTAACTTGTTTACAAATTGTTGACAAGTTAACACGCACGTGGACAGGTGGGTACCATACAAAGACCCCCATGTAGCCTTTGGCAGTCTGTTAGCGAGTAGCACCTAATGAAGACTTGCATGACACACGTGGGGGTGGTGACCAGCACCATGCCGGGCTCGCCATTGTCTGCCAGTGCTGATGTTGACGCATCACCACCAGGTACTGCTCACTTAAGGCCGAGTCGAACTCAGAGCCTGGGCCGCAGTGCGATATCCTCAACACCAGCGTTCCCCACGGGTACACAAAGACAAAAATCCCCCGTATAGTGTGAACAGACTGTTGGGGCAAGTACTGTTAGCGAGCACCTATGAAGGCCGGCACGGTACACGAGGGGGTGGGTGTCCAACACTACTCCCGGCCGCCTTTGTCTCCCCGATGTCGATGTTTACACACCACAGCAGGTACTCATTTGAGGCTGAGTCGACCTAAGGGAGGCCCAGCACCGGTTCATATAATCGTCACTGTTGTTGGCCTTGAGAGGGAATCGAATCCGGGTAGCCGGGTTCGTAGCGCTATGCGCTAACCGCTACACTACCGCTCCCCACACACACAGACACACACGTGTTACACACATGTACAGACACAGGTGGGCACACAGGTACACACAGGTGTACACAAGTGGGTACACAGAGATATACACGTGTGTGTGTTCGTGTATGCGTGTTCGTGTTAGGTCGACTCAGCCTCAAACGAGTACCTGGTGCGGTGTGTAAACATCGCCACTGGGGAGACACAAAGGCGGTCGGGCGTGGTGCTTGCCACCCACCCCCCCGTGTACCGTTCCGGCCTTCATAGGTGCTCGCTAACCGCACTTGCCCCTACAGTCTGTTAAGGCTATACGGGGGATCTTTGTTTGTTTTGTTCGTGTGTGTGGATACAGATGCTTCTCTTGCTCTCTCTCAGGGTCAATCCGAGCTTGCCACGGTGCTTCCGATTGTGATCGTTCACAAAGGGCACGGATTGAACACTAATTTTGAACACTCATTTCGCTAAATGCACAATTGGCACGGCGCTCTTCGTTGTGAAATTCAGTTACGTAAAATACATTTTAAAAAACTATCATCCGCCCCCATCTCCACATTATTGATCCCGAGTCCGCCTTCAATAATTGCCCCATGAGGTATCCAGCCTCTAGTCCGCTATTGTGTTTTTTTTCCTTCCAATTGTTTGCTTGTGGGGATGCATTGTCAGCGCGTGGCTGGAGTAACCAGAAACAATCCACACGTCAGTGACACTGGATTGTGTGTGTGGCTTAAAGGTGGTGGGGAGTGGGTGAGGAATATCGGCGACGTTTCGGGCAACGGTCCTTTTTCAGAGCACGTACATGAATAATGTATTTAAAGATGGAGTAACGCGTGAATAAGAATGATTAACGTAGCCACGCACTCAAGTTGCACGCATTCATTAAACAAACTATTTCCGAAGACAAGACAAAAGCGAAAATGCCCCGTGTAGCCTTAACAGACTGTTGGGGCAAGTGCTGTTGGCGAGTAATACGTATGAAGACTGCTATGGAGGGTGGGTGGCCAGCACCACGCCCGACCACCTTTGTCTCCCCCAGTGTTGATGTTTGCACACCGCCAGAGTCAGTTTTCAGTTGATTTATTTTGGTATAGCCCTGTGAGCCATTCGGCTCTTGAATCGGGTGCAACCACAACAAACAAAAAAACAAAAACACGAACAAGAAAACATCTTAAAGTGACTATGTGACCGTGCAAACAGAAAATCCATGAAAAAACAGCAAAATATTCCTGAAAAAAGCACCGTACACCAACGCCGTGTGCAAAAAATTCCAGTGGGATGCAAGTCAAACAACAACAACCACAAGAAAACTTAGACGCCTTTTGGCGTCTTCTGGTCCAACACCAATGGAGACTAGGCGCTAAGAAAAGCCGTCTCGGGTGTGGACCAATCAAATTCAAGGACAGTGCATATTATTATCAGAGTTGTCTTTTTTTGCATTTTGACTGCTTGTGTTGTGGTTATTGCAAACATGATGCCTTGAATAAAGGTGTCAGTTTTTGTGCCAGTTAAAAGGGTAAAACCTATTCCTATAAGAAAACTTAGATTAAGGCCATCAGTCTAACTCCGTACTACAACAAAACAAACATGTCTAAACCAAAAAAACTTTTCGAAATCACCAAAAAATAAAGCCATAATCACAACGTAACAGTGATCATAGGGACTGTGACCGGTTCAGATATCCGCCACTGGTGTTGACCGTGAGCACCGATCTAACTCGGGGAGCCGGGTTCGTAGCGCAGCATGCTAACCACTGCGCCACCTCTCCCCACTTCCACAGGACAAACAAAGACAAAGATCCCCTATATAGCCTGAACAGACTGTTGGGGCAAGTGCTGTCAGGGAGCACCTATGAGGCTAGCACGGAACACGAGGGGTTGGGGTGGCCAACACCACACACACGTACAAAGACAAAGATCCCCCGTATAGCCTTAACAGACTGCAGGGGCAAGTGCTGTTAGCGAGCACCTATAAAGGCCGGCACGGCACACGAGGGGGTGGGTGGCCAACACCACGCGCGGCCGCCTTTGTCTCCCCAGCGACGATGTACACACACACGTACACACACATACGTGCACACACACGTGCACACACACGTACGTACACACACGTACACACAACGTGTTGTCAAGCATTTCAGAAGCCATGTGGCGTATTCATTATTTTCCTGCATTGTTTTAAATTGTCGTACACGTATACATGCCCTATTAATGTATGTACTAAAGCGGCATCTATCCTTAAACATGCACACGTTGAGGCAACGTTGAGGCATGTTTACCGTGTTCGTCACCATCTGACAACCACAACCGTTGTCTGCAGTTGTCCATTCGCCACTGTGGGTGAATGATGGCTTGCACCACCACCACCACAACCACTACCACCCCCCTCACGAGCTGAGCGGGGGTCACGAGCTGAGCTCTCTGCGCTCAATGGGCTAAACTTGCGCGGGGAAATAAACTTTTCACCCTTTAAAAGTTTCGATTTTTGGGCCAAATTTTTTTTTTAAAAGAATAAACAGATATTGTTGGTGCAATGCTCACCCCCTTTGTTGCAGAGTCACAAAGGGAATGACGATCGTTACCCTACGTGGCAGGTGCACATACAAAGAGAGATGACCCGTGTAGCCTTGCAGACTGTGGGGGTTAGTGATGCTATCATCTAGCACGCATGGTTAGCACCACGCACGACCCGGCCGTGTTTGTCTCCCCGGTGGCGGAAGTTTACGCGCGGTGACGACTATTCGCGTTTGCCATGGAAATGCTGCACGCACAGGTGTAGAAACGCAGATGTTGCAAAACATGCAGGAGTACACAAGCGCCAGAAATACACACAGCGTGTGCGCAAGCTTAGGGGTGTATACGTGAATGTGTACACACATTCACGAGTATGCAAGGGATGATGTGCACACAGTTGTAAATAGCGCACACACGCATGTGCACATGAACACAAACAGGGGTAGTACATGTACTTTGAATAAAGCTACCGATTTTTAAAAATATGATTTTTGTAAACGATACGAAACTGTTTTTTTTTATTACACAGGTAAAGCCTCCTGAGCTGTTATCGTTACCGTGGCGTCCACGGTGGCTAGGTGATGTTAACTACCTCGCCTGGTATACAGGAGGTCGTGGGTTCGATCCCAACCCTGACGCCTACTGCTGTGTATTTGGAGTTTGCGTGTCTCTCTCTCTCCCAGTGGTCGCGTGGCTTTTTCTCCGGGTCCTCCGGTTTATCCTCTCCACATTTGGAATAAACATCGCCACGCGTTTACAGTATTTGGCCAATGCTACACATTCCAGACAGGCCACATCGCTGAGCTATCATTTGTGATAGCCAGGTCGCTTATTAAAAAAAAAAGCTCAGTGAGCTGTACCTGGTAAAATAAAAAGGTGATCGTTTTATCGATTAGTATCTCTTTTTCAGAAGCGACCTGGCCACACGTGATCACAGCTCATCGCAATGGCTGATATTATCATCATCATCTCAGCGCGTGTTGATTCTGAATGTGGAGGAGGAGGGGCAAACCCGGAGGAACCCAGAGAAAAATCCACGCGACCACCACGTGGAGAGAGAGAGAGAGCGAACACGTGGACTCCAAATATGCAAGAACAGGCATTGCCAGGGTCCGGGATGGAACCCACACGGGGCTCACGTGGTACCAGGCGAGGGAGATAAACATGCCAGTACCACCGCAGCGTCCCAACAACAATGCCTCGTCTTCTGTTTTCCCTCTCAAAATTGTAGGAGTCATATACATCGTGCATCTGTCGAACGCGTCTCTCGTCCTCGGATCAGCTCGTGTCGTTGCATCGTGAGACCACGACTGATATTTACGGTTCGGGGAGGCCTTCAACGCAGCAGTGCATAAATCATGGCTGCTGCTGCTGCCGCTGATGATGAAGTGTTAAAATAACTATACTATTTTTGTATTACCAGGTAAGTCCCACTGAGCTATATATCACGTGGACAGTTATAGCAGCCAAATACTCTAAACGCGTGGTGTTTATTCTAAACGTGGAGGGGAAAACCGCACCATGCCCGGCCGCGTTTGTCTTCCTAAGTACTGCTGCACCTTCCCCAACAGTGTACACACACACACGTCCACATGCACACATAAAATTGCTGTGTATACACAAAGACAAAGATCCCCCGTGTCGCCTTAACTCATTATTGGAACAAGTGCTCTTAACGAGCACCAATGAAGGCCGGCACGGGGATGGGTGGCCAGCACCACGCCCGGCCGCCTTCATCTCCCCGGTGGCGATGTTTACACACCGCACCAAGTACTAATTTCAGGCTGAGTCGACCTAGGGGAGGCCCAGGACCGGTTCAGGTAACCGTCACCGGTGTCGGCCGTGAGCGGGAATCGAACTCTAGTCGCCGGGTTCGTAGCGCTAACCGCTACACTACCGCTCCCCACTTTGTGTACGCATACACACGCACAGGTACAAACACGTGTAAATCATTGTCATTGCAACCATCAATAATATAACTACCACCATTACCACGACCAGCAAAACGTCCACCATCATCCTTACAATCTCCATCATTATCATACCCACCACGATCATTAATTACTACCACCACGCTTATCACCATCACTACCGCTATCACCACCATCATAATCATCACCATCAACACCAGCATCATTATCAGTCACCATTCAGCATTACCTCTGTCACCACCTCCACCATTATCACCACCACTACCAGAACCACCACCGTTATCATCCTCACAATCACCACTACAGCAATTATCATCACCATCATCACTCACACAACAACAACCGCCATTCGCCACTAAGTGGCGATGACATCACCACGACGCTTGTGCCAGGCTATGTGCACGTTGAGGCCACGTGAAGTGTCGAACGCCCGCTGGCAGGAGGTCACGGGGCAGACCCAGGTGCCATGGGTCGACTGACTAAGATGACTGGCTGATGCACCACCTGTGCACCCTACTGTGCCAACTTGCTGTGCTTTAGACACCCGGCGCTCCGCTCGTTGTTGTGAGCGTCGCTCCACCTCCTCCCTCCGTTGTTGTTGGAGGGCGACTGCCTCCAACTGCCCAGTAGCGTCCTTCACGAGCCTCCTCCACCGAGGCCGATCTTCACACCGCTGGTACCAGTCATCGGCAAGTCCACTCAGCTCCACATCCTCCTGTTCCACATCACTCTATCTCTTCTCTAGCCCGTGCCGCGCCCATTTAGCCCCCTCGATCCGGACGAACAAAAGCTGTTTGGGCATGCAGACTACATGACCCAGCCAACGCAGCCTTGCCTGCCGGAAGAGCTCACCGATGGGGCTTTGTCCAGATCTTTTAAGGATATGTGAGCTTCTCATACAATCAGGCCTGGTTAAACCCAAGATGGATCGTAGGCACGCCAGCCTAAATGTTTCTAACCGGCAAAGATGTTCCATTTGGGGGGGTCCACGTTTCGCAAGCGTAAAGAAAGGAGGGAATGACCGTGGCCGAGAAGACCTGAAGCTTCGTGCGGAGCGACAGACCAGGTAACTGAGCGTTACGCGACCGATGAAAAGATAATGCCGCTCGACTGATTCTACTGTCAAACCGGAGCCGGTCATGAGCACACTGCCCAGATATGAGAAACTCTCCACTCTCTCCACAACTGCCCTATCACCAATTGGGAGTTGTTGGGGTGGAGTGTCCGTTGGTACAAAATACCCAGGCAGGTGCTTATTTTGGTGGGGCTGATGGTAAGTCCCTACCTCTTAGTGGCAAGCTCCAGGTTCAGCAGCAGCGCCTCCAATTCCTCCTCTGAGTGAGCAGCAATTACCAGATCATCGGCATACATAACATGGTTGAGCAATAGGGAGCCATCCATTGACCGCACCCGGGCATCGATCAGCCTCCCACTGTATCTGTACCAGATGAAAACTCCTCCAGTACAGCCATTACCACCACCACTCCCAACACCAGCCATTACCACCACCACTCCCAACACCAGCCATTACCACCACCATCACTCCCAACGTCAGCCATTACCACCACCACCACTACTCCCAACACCAGCCATTACCACCACCACCACCACTCCCAACACCAGCCATTACCAACACCATCACTCCCAACACCAGCCATTACCACCACCACCACTCCTAACACCAGCCATTACCACCACCATCACTCCCAACACCAGCCATTACCACCACCACTACTCCCAACACCAGCCATTACCACCACCACCACTCCCAACACCAGCCATTACCACCACCACCACTCCCAACACCAGCCATTACCACCACCACCACCACTCTCAACACCAGCCATCACCACCACCACCAACACTCCCAACACCAGCCATCACCACCACCAACACTCCCAACACCAGCCATTACCACCACCACCACTCCCAACACCAGCCATTACCACCACCATCACTCCCAACACCAGCCATTACCACCACCACCACCACCACTCCCAACACCAGCCATTACCATCACCACCACCAACACTCCCAACACCAGCCATTACCATCACCACCACCAACACTCCCAACACCAGCCATTACCATCACCACCACCACTCCCAACACCAGCCATTACCACCACTCCCAACACCAGCCATTACCACCACCACCACTCCCAACACCAGCCATTACCATCACCACCACCACTCCCAACACCAGCCATTACCACCACCAGCAACAACAAACAGCAGCAGCCGCCACCTCTACCTACCAGTCCCTCCTCGCCGGGCCCCGGCGCCGTGATGGCGAGGTCGTTGCCCCGCTCGTCCACCGCCTTGATCTCCACTCCCCAGTTGGTCTCGGGGTGCAGGAACCAGTTGTGGAGGATGTACTTGAAGTCGATGCTCTGCCATTGTCCCGCGCGGGAGCCCAGGTCGGTCTTGAGCGAGCGGATGCGCACGGTGCCCCCCTTGGAGAGCGGGATGAGGCGCAGCACCTGGATGAACACTGTGCTGCGAGCGTCCACGGGCCGCAGGTACACCCACAGGTAGGCCTTCACCACCTTGTTCAGCATCATCTTGGGCGTGAATCGGAAGAAGCAGCAGCGAGGGGAGCCGTCCACGCGCACCAGGGGGTCGGCTGCGGAGACATCGGAGGAGCCGAGCGGGCGGCGTTGGGGAAGACGAAGGATGGGAGGGGATGGAGGGAGGACACAGATCTGAGCTGCGGTGCCGCTGATGGAATCCGTACGGCCAATGAGGAGCGACTAACCATCCCCGCCCCCCCCCCCCCCATACGTATTACTCGCCAACAGCACTTGCCCCAACAGTCTGTTGAGGCTACCCGGGGGGTATTTGTCTGTGAATCGTACGGCTCCTCAGTGCGAGCCTCGCTGCCGCGAAAGACCGAGTTGTGTGTACGTACGTACACGTGTGGTGTACGTACATACACCACACGTGTGTACACAGACACCACACGTGTGTGTGTGTACACACGTGTGGTGTGTGTACACACGTGTGGTGTATGTGTGTACACACGTGTGGTGTGTGTACACACGAGTGGTGTGTGTGTGTGTACACACGTGTGGTGGGTGTATGTACACACGTGTGCTGTGTGTGTACACACGTGTGGTGGGTGTGTACACAAGTGTGGTGTGTGTGTACACACGAGTGCTGTGTGTACACACGAGTGGTGTGTGTACACACGAGTGGTGTGTGTACACACGAGTGCTGTGTGTACACACGAGTGCTGTGTGTACACACGTATGGTGTGTGAATGTACACACGTGTGGTGTGTGTACACACGAGTGCTGTGTGTGTGTTACGTTCGTTAAGAATCATTGCCGGTGGAATGTTCGGAACAACAAACGGCACGGCGGCGTCAGTCACCGCGTGGTCCACGTGCACCTCATTTCTCAGTGGAAAGATAAAGATTTCTCAGTGGAAAGATAAAGGCGCAGTCGCGCAATTTCTCCCAGACGCCACTGCAGACGGAACAGCCTCCGCTGGAGGCAGCTCTAGAGTGGTATTTGGCCTACTCTTCCATATTGCTCAGACGTCTTGGGAGAGGTGGACTTACTCAAACTTTACCCCACCGCCACCACACGCGATCATCAGAATCAGCTATAAATCTCCCTTTCACAGATGTACCCATTGTACTGCTGGCGGCGAGGATGGGGGGGGGGGGGTAATGAACTTGCACCATTGTTTCACCTGGCGTGCCCGGAGATGGAATCGAACCGTCGCCCTCTGGATTGCATGATCCCGTGTGCTCGCTGTTACACGACGGAAACCCCTAAATGATAAAGCGATTAAAAAAAAAAAGTTTTTATGCTCCGGACATTTAAATCCTTTATGTGCTCGCAAACGGCACTTTGCCCCAACAGGCTGTTGAAAGCTACCCGGGGGATCTGTGTCTTTGTGTGCGAGGGTGAGTAGTGAGTGTTAGAGAAAGAGAGAGTGCGTGAGTGTGTATGTTGGGCTGAATGGAGGAGGGTGCTGAACGGGCGCGGCACGGTTTGGATAGGGGATGGGCTTCATGCGGTACTGGAGGACGTGGAGCTGAATGGACTTGCCGGTGACTGGCACCAGCGGTGTCAAGATCGGCCTCTGTGGAAGATACTCGTGAAGGACGCTACTGGGCAGTACCAGGCTATGTGCACTTTGAAGTTACTGGGGCAAGTTGGAGGGCGGAGGAGGAGCGACGCTCACAACAACTTAGCACAGCGCCGGGTGGGTAAAACGCAACAAGTTTGTGCAGTGGGGGGCACAGTCTTCCCGGTCAGCCCATGGCACCTGGGTCTGCCCCGTAACCTCCTGCAGGCGAGCCTTCGACACTTTGCGTGCTCTCAAAGTGCACCTAGACTGGCACAAGCCCCGTCTGTGATGCAACCACATAGCGGCGAATGACGATTGTTGTGCATCGAAGTGTGTCAGAGTGTAGGGTAAGTAACAATATCCGTGAGTGCGTGTGCGAGTGAGAGTGCGCGTGTCTATGATGGGGAGTGGTAATGCAGTGGTGAACGCGCTGCGCTCAGGATTCAATTCCCAGTGACGAATATCTAAAACCGGTTCTGGGCCTTCCCTAGGTCGACTCAGCCTCAAATGAGTACCTGGTGCGGTGGTTAAATATCGCCACTGGAGAGACGAAGGCGGCCGGGCGTGGTGCTGGCCACCCATCCACCCCCTCGCGCGCCGTGCCAGCTTTCATAGGTGCTCGCTAACGCACTTTCCCCAAGAGGGTTAAAGGCTACACGGGGGATCTTTGTCATTGTGCCCCCATCAACAATTACGCGGTGCCCGCGTCTGCCTGAGCACGTGTGCACACAAAGACATATTCACACACGCGCGCGTGCGTGTGTGCATATGTCTTGGTGTACATGCGTGCGTGCACAAATACACACACGTACGTACGTACGCGCGCGCGCGTGTGTATGCGTGCTCGCCCGCCTCCGTTTGCACGTGAATGCACAAACATGCACGCGCGCGCGTGTTTACGCTGCATGCACACGTGCGTATATACTTAGACACGCGCGTGCTTATACACTCACGCACGCGTACACGCGTGTACACGTGCGTGCGTGTGTACGTGTGTACACTCACACGCACGCGCGCGCACACGTGGTGACGACTCCACCGCCCCCCCCCCCCCCCGTCTCTCTCGCTCTCTCTCTCACACAATGCGCTCTCGCAAACAGCGCGACCCCCCCACACCACCCCCCCCCCCCAACTGCGAGACGCGATGAATGAGCGCTTTGTGTCGGGGGGGACGGACGCACGGGGAGGGGAGAGGGAGGCGCTCACAGCGAGCGCCCATCAGCTAAGTCACTCGGGTTCGATTCCTGGCCGTGACGTCAAGGGCACGCACCCCCCCACACCCCGCACACCCCCCACACCCCCCTCCATAAATCAACTCGGAATAAATTCACGCATTGGTGGTGGGGGGGGTAGGGACGCCCAGAACGGCAGTGGTGGTGGTGGGGGCAAGGAGCAGGGATGATTTGCGTTACGGGGCAGCCTGGCATTTGCCCCTGGAGTTGGGGGTCACCCACACAAACTCGGCCCAACGTAAATTCTAAACCACAGTCCAGCCGGGGATGATTTAAGTGTGGCCCTGTGTGTGTGGTGTGTGTGTGTGTGTTTTGTGTGTGTGCGTGGACACGTAGGGGTAAGCAACTTGGAGGTTGGGGGTAGAACGTAGCAAGACAAAGATGTGTGGATGGATGGAGAGGATGGTGGTGGTGGTGATGATGATGATGGGTGTGACACGTGTGAAGGATGGAGGAGGATAGGGTAAGCAACTTGCAAGTTAACAATAGTACTTGGTAGGAAAGCGCTGTAGATGTGATTAGATGCCTATCAAATCTTGCAGTTCACGAGCACTGATGACAACAAAGAGCCTCACGCTGTCGATGAGACACTTTCGGTCGAAACCAGTGTAGAGTTGGCTTGTTATAGGTTGTGTAAGAAATACTTCTGGGGTTTTGTTTGGTTTTGTTTACGTGGAGAGACAGATATGTGCAGGAGATACGCAGTGACAGCTTCATCTGTTTGGATCAGAAAGAGGAGGAGGAAGAGGAGGAGGTTGTGATGGGAGGGACGAGTGTGCAGGGTGCATTAGCAGAGCCTCGTTTGTCTGCACGGGCATTGGAGGGATAACTCCAAGGGGACAACTCTAGACCCAGATGGTGGTGGTGGTGAGAGTCTAAGGTCGGACCAAGGAAGTCGACTGAGCAACAACTCGGAGACTTTGCAGAAGGAAGGAGGCGATGGCGATGCGTGAAGGTATCGACGGCATTGGCCACATGATGACCTCTTGACCTTGGGTGTGTGTGTGTTGTGGTGAGCGGTGGTGTAGCGGTTAGCGCGCTGCGCTACGAACGTGACGACCCGGGAACGATTCCCGCACACGGCCAACACCAGTGACGATTATCTGAACCGGTCCTGGGCCTTCCCTAGGCCGACTCAGCCTCAAATAATTACCTGGTGCGATGTGTAAACATCACCACTGGGGAGACAAAGGCGGCCAGGTGTGGTGTTGGCCATCCACCCCCTCGTGTGCCGTGCCGGCCTTTATGGGTGCTCGCTAACAGCACTTGCCCCTACAGTCAGTTAAGGCTACACGGGGGATCTTTGTCTGTCTTCCTTTTTTTAGGTCCCAACTACGACCTGGCCAAGCCAGCGGCACCGAGGTAGTTTCCACGTGGTCGGCAGCAAGTCACGTGCGCCGTAAAATTAATGCACCGGACACCCCCGAAAACGAGCGGCCTGCGAGCTCCGTGCGTGATGGTTCGAGTCCGGTCGTCGTTGTTGTTGTTGTTGCTGTTAATCCACGTCTGACGTGACTCCTGTCACACGTGTCACGCTGTAACACGTGTCACCCTCGAGCGTGACCTTATTTAAATTGGGGGGGGGGGCATGATTGCTCAGGCGAAGGGGTGCACGACACAACTTGGATGTTGGCAGCGTCACTGCTGCTGTGGGTGCTGCTGCTGATGATGATACTCCTATTATTGCTGCAGCTGTTACTGCTGCTGCAGCGACTAACAATGCTGCTGATGATGCTGCTGATACTACTGCTCCTGCTGATACTACTCCTGCTGCTGATATTGCTGCTGTTGATACTACTGCTGATACTACTACTCCAACTGGTGGTGATACTACAACTGTTGGTGACACTACTACTACTGCTGCTGATCATACAACTACTGCCGCTGATACTACTGTTGGTGATACTACTAGTGCTGCTTGTACTGCTGCTGGTGATACTACTACTGCTGATACTACTCCTGTTGCTGATATTGTTGCTGCTGCTGATACTACTGCTGATACTACTACACCAACTGCTGGTGATACTACTACTACTGCTGCTGGTGATCATACAACTACTGCCGCTGATACTACTGCTGGTGATACTACTACTGCTGCTTGTACTGCTGCTGGTGATACTACTACTGCTGATACTACTCCTGCTGCTGATATTGTTGCTGCTGCTGATACTACTGTTGATACTACTACTCCAACTGCTGGTGATACTACTACTACTGCTGCTGGTGATCATACAACTACTGCCGCTGATACTACTGCTGGTGATACTACTACTGCTGCTTGTACTGCTGCTGGTGATACAACTACTGCTGATACTACTACTGCTGCTGGTGCTGCTTAGCGCCCTGGTCTCGTCAGGAGACGAGGGCGGCTCGCGACGCATTCCTGCTGCTCGTGGGTCCTGTAATTAGCCGAGAATGGATCTCGACACGGCGGCTGTCAACACTCCCCATGGGCCGGGAGGCACGGGGGCAGGGGGCAGTTCGAGAGGTGGAGGAACGGAGGAGGGAATATGGAACAGGGAGGACGCATGCAGAGAAAGGAGGATGGATGGAAGAGGAGGAGGAGGATGATGATGATGATGATGGATTTGTGGATGGCTGGCGAGATGAAGGGAGGGAGGATGGAGCAAACGGGATTAGATGAGAGGATGCATGGAGTTGCGGAGCCATAATCATCGTCATCAGCCACGATCTATCCACTGCTGAGCGAAGGCGTTCCGCAACCCGTCGTGATCTCTCACGACCCCGCGATGCAACGATCCACGCGGCACCAGCGCGTCACTTGGCCTCATGAATAACGAGCGATGGCCTTATTTGCGTGTGCTTTTTTGTTTGTTTATTTCTGGCAGGGTACCCTCGCCAAGGGAGGGTCCTGCCACACGACGATGTTTGGCCACCTCCTCGTTCGCGAGACGCACTGCTGCTTCGCGTGCGTTGAGTGTATCCGCAGAGTCGGCGTGGGGGGTGGGGGGAGCCCCACCGCTCGTACGAGGAGGGGAGGGGTTTCCACTCAAAGCTGGGCGCAGGCAGATCTCCAGAATCGGCTGGGCTCTGCTGTCATCATAATCCGCCACCCCGCAACGAGAGAGGCTGCGACATCTGCTACTCCCCATGCAAGCAGCAGCAGCCAGGCTGAAATCGCGCTTCGCTTCCAAGATCCTTCTCAACACGCGCCCAGGACGCCTGAGCCTCGCCTGTCTTACCCACTCATCATCATCATTCCTCATCCTCCTCTTCCTTGCAGATTGCCCCAAACATCCACCCGAGCATCGTCTACACAGATTGCAGGGAGAAGAGAGGATGCGGCAGGGAAGGACGGAGCGAATGTAGCGAAGGGTTCCCGGTGCGTCTCAGCCGCGCGTCCTCGACTCGGTACAGAGGACCCAGAACCTCGCCACAAAAGGGGTCGTCGTCTCAGACCAGGATCCGCACGGAGCCAACGTCCGCCACGCGTTTTGCGAATCAGACGAGTTCGGAGGGAGGGGGGGGGAGGGGGTCAGGCGTTTCCATGGTCCTGGTTGTCGCGTTACAATCGCGTTATGTTCGCGAACAGAATCGTCTGTGGCCCCGGGGCCCCGGAACTAATCAACTAATTGATTACGCTGCGGTTGTGCTAATTGCGCCCTTTGTTTACTCAGTGAGAGCGTCGGCGTTTACCGCAAGACTGCGTATGAGGAGGGTGCTGCCGGGGTGGAAGGTTTGGCCGTGAATTCAATGAATGAGAGTTTTGACTTCGCGTGCGAGAGAACTGCTGCTGGACACGAGGAGGGAGACACCCAGGAAACCAGATAGCCCGGTTAAAACCCAGCACAGCACTGGTGCTCTACACGAGGGGGTGACATCCAGGGAACCAGATAGCCCGGTTAAAACCCAGCACAGCACTGGTGCTCTACACGAGGGGGAGACACCCAGGGAACCAGATAGCCCGGTTAAAACCCAGCACAGCACTGGTGCTCAACACGAGGGGGGAGACATCCAGGGAACCAGATAGCCAGGTTAAAACCCAGCACAGCACTGGTGCTCTACACGAGGGGGGAGACATGCAGGGAACCAGATAGCCCGGTTAAAACCCAGCACAGCACTGGTGCTCTACACGAGGGAGAGACACCCAGGGAACCAGATAGCCCGGTTAAAACCCAGCACAGCACTGGTGCTCTACACGAGGGGGGAGACATCCAGGGAACCAGATAGCCCGGTTAAAACCCAGCACAGCACTGGTGCTCTACACGAGGGGGGAGACATCCAGGGCACCAGATAGCCCGGTTAAAACCCAGCACAGCACTGGTGCTCTACACGAGGGGGGAGACATGCAGGGAACCAGATAGCCCGGTTAAAACCCAGCACAGCACTGGTGCTCTACACGAGGGAGAGACACCCAGGGAACCAGATAGCCCGGTTAAAACCCAGCACAGCACTGGTGCTCTACACGAGGGGGGAGACATCCAGGGAACCAGATAGCCCGGTTAAAACCCAGCACAGCACTGGTGCTCTACACGAGGGGATGACACGCAGGGATCCAGATAGCCCGGTTAAAACCCAGCACAGCACTGGTGCTCTACACGAGGGGGGAGACCCCCAGCCACTGCCTTCTCCTGGCCAACCCGTGCGGGACGATCACCAAATGCAGGTTAGAGTACTAAACCTGCTGAGGTTACGAGATCCGACGCGAATCTGTCGCCGGAGCGGTGATGTTGGAGGGACCCAGAGGCCCAGGGGAAACCCCACCACGCACACGGGGAGACGGGCAGGGCGAGCGGGCTGGTTGGCGGGGTGCGAACCCAAAACTCCGCACAGATGGATGTCATAACTCGTTGCCGTAACCACCGCCATCCCCTGGCCACCTCACAGTCGCAAACCGACAATAGCCACGTGGCGTTCACAGGCAGCCTGCCGCCGCGTTAAAGCGCTACAGGTGTCACACCTCACGGCTACAGGTGTCACACCTCACGGCTACAGGTGTCACACCTCACGGCTACAAGTGTCACACCTCACAGCTGCAGGTGTCACAACCTGCCGGCTACAGGTGTCACACCTCACGGCTACAGGTGTCACACCTGCCGGCTACAGGTGTCACACCTCACGGCTGCAGGTGTCACACCTGTAGCCGGCTACAGGTGTGACACCTCACGGCTACAGGTGTCACAGCTGTAGCCGGCTACAGGTGTCACACCTGCCGGCTACAGGTGTCACAGCTCACGGCTACAGGTGTGACACCTCACGGCTACAGGTGTCACACCTGCCGGCTGCAGGTGTCACACCTCACGGCTACAGGTGTCACACCTCACGGCTACAGGTGTCACACCTGTAGCCGGCTACAGGTGTCACACCTGCCGGCTGCAGGTGTCATAACCTGCCGGCTGCAGGTGTCACACATGTAGCCGGCTCCAGGTGTCACAACCTGCCGGTTGCAGGTGTCACACCTGCCGGCTACAGGTGTCACACCTGCCGGCTACAGGTGTCACACCTGCCGGCTGCAGGTGTCACACTTGTAGCCGGCTACAGGTGTCACACCTGCCGGCTGCAGGTGTCACACCTCACAGCTACAGGTGTGACACCTCACGGCTGCAGGTGTCACAACCTTCCGGCTACAGGTGTCACAACCTGCTGGCTACAGGTGTCACAACCTGCCGGCTACAGGTGTCACAACCTGCTGGCTACAGGTGTCACACCTGCCGGCTACAGGTGTCACACCTGTAGCCGGCTACAGGTGTCACACCTGCCGGCTACAGGTGTGACACCTACAGGTGTGACCGCTGGCGCGGCTCGCGTTGCGCGTGCGGCCGCTTCTCCTGGGCGGCTGCACGAGGAGTGCTTAGTCCACGGGCGTAGAGGGCATCAGACACATCGCTCCACCACCTACATAGAATCTGTACCGACCCCCAACACAACCTACAAACAATCTGTAATACCCCCCTCCCCCCCGCTCCTGACTTGGTAACCGCACTCACTTCCAAGCGGTCATAAACCTGATCCACCGTTCCCGGCCACGTCCAGAGAGAGACACTGGAATCGCGGAGGAGAACGCTGCACCGCCCCCTCCCCCCCAGGGTGGCATCGACGAGTGAAGTCCGTGCGCTTGCCTCGTCGACTGCGCGTCTGTTGTCGGTGCGATCGGCGACGATAGCAGTGGGGGGGGGGGGGTGTCTGCTGAGCGCTGCTATCGGTGCGTGCGCATTGCTGCTGCTGCTGCTTGTGCGGCTATCGGTGCGACCGGGGGGAGGGGGACACGCGCGCTGGCTACCGGCGTGACCGCTGTGCTACTCACGCTCGCTGCCCATGATGATGATGGTCTCGGCCGTGGCGTGGTAGTCGTCGTCTTCCCAGTGCGCGTGGTTGGACGAGGGTCCCTGGTCCCCCTGGAAGTCGTACTGGTCCAGCAGCTGCTGCAGCGGCGGCGCCTTGGGCAGCAGCTGGCTGATGACGTCGCGGCTGATGTTGGGCGCCTGCTTGAGTCGCAGCTTGCTCAGGATCTGCGACTTGATGGACTCGAGGCGCAGCGCTTTGCTCTGCTCCCTCCAGATGCACGCCGGCGTGCACTCGGCGCGTTCCGGCTGCTCCTCCCCGGGCCCCCACGAGGTAGCCCCCGTTGCTGCCCCCGCCGCAGCTGCCGCTGCCCCTCCGGCTGCCCCCACCGATGCCCCCTCTTCGGCGTTGGTGCAAACGTTGCGGCCGAACGCGGCCAGGCACACGCACAGGATGAGGCACTGGGGCGGCATGGCTCGGCTCGGAATGTTGGCGGCGAGGTTGTCGGTGGTCGTGGTGGAGAGTGGAGCGAGCGTGCGAGTGGAGATCAAGCAGGGGAAGAGTGTGTGAGTGGCAGAGTGTGTGAGTGGGAGAGTGTGAGAGTGTGTGTGTGGGAGAGTGTGTGAGTGGGAGAGTGTGTGAGTGGGAGAGTGTGTGAGTGGGAGAGTGTGTGAGTGGCAGAGTGTGTGAGTGGCAGAGTGTGTGAGTGGGAGAGTGTGTGAGTGGCAGAGTGTGTGAGTGGGAGAGTGTGTGAGTGGGAGAGTGTGTGAGTGGGAGAGTGTGTGAGTGAGCTCGCGAGCGACCTGGCGAGTTGGTGAGCGAGTGAGTGAGTGACGGGGGCGCAACGTGAAGAGAGGAGGAGGCGGTGGTGGTGGTGGTGGGTGGGTTGATGAATATGTACGCGTTGTGAGAGGGGGGATGGGGGTGCGGATTGGAGCGGTGGAGTAGAGACGCAGAGAGATGCAATGGGGACAGAGAGAGCGCGACTCTGCACAGAGAGCGCGGGGGAGCGGGGAGGGGGGTGATGGAGGAGAGTTCCTCTCCTGAGAGCGGTGTCGGCGTGCAGGCAACGCGGCCGCTTTTATAGCGGCACTTTGTCCCACGCTCGGCACGGAGAGTCCCGGCGATTGGCTGCAGCCTCTTGAGCCCGCGATAGCGGCGAGGGGTCGAGGCGGGGCTGTGCCGAATCCACTCCCACTCACTCACACACACAGACACTCACACACACACTCACACACACACAGACACTCACACACACACACAGACACTCACTCCCACTCACACACACACACAACAACAACAACCGCCATTCGCCACTAAGTGGCGGTGACGTCACCACGACGCTTGTGCCAGGACATGTGCACCTTGAGGCCACGTGGAGTGTCGAACGCCCGCTGGCAGGAGGTCACGGGGCAGACCCAGGTGCCACGGGTCGACTGACTGAGATGACTGGCTGATGCATCACCTGTGCCCCCTACTGTGCCAACCTGCTGTGCTTTAGCCACCCGGCGCTCCGCTCGTTGTTGAGAGCGTCGCTCCTCCGCCCTCCGTTGTTGTTGGAGGGCGACTACCTCCAACTGCCCAGTAGCGTCCTTCACGAGCCTCCTCCACAGAGACCGATCTTGACACCGCTGGTACCAGTCATCGGCAAGTCCACTCAGCTCCACGTCCTTCTGTACCACATCACTCCATCTCTTCTCTATTCCGTGCCGCGCCCGTTTAGCCCCCTCGATCCGGCCGAACAAAAGCTGTTTCGGCATGCGGTGGCTGGGTATGCGGGCTACATGACCCAGCCATCGCAGCCTTGCCAGCCGGAGGAGCTCACCGATGGGACCTTGCCCAGATCTTTCAAGGATTTGTGAGCTCCTCACACAATCCAGTCTGGTTAAACCCAGGATGGATCGTAGGCAGGCCAACCTAAATGTTTCTAACCGGCGAAGATGTTCCATTAGGGGGGTCCACGTTTCGCAAGCGTAGAGAAGGGAGGGAATGACCGTGGCCGAGAAGACCTGAAGCTTAGTGCGGAGCGACAGACCAGGTAGCTTCCACACAGCGTTACGCAACCGATGAAAAAATATCGCCGCTCGATTGATTCGGAGTGAGACCTCTGCTGTTAAACTGGAGCCGGTCATAAGCACACTGCCCAGGTATGGGAAACTCTCCACTCTCTCCACAACTGCCCCATCACCGATTGGGAGGTGTGGGGGTGGAGTGTCCGATGGTACAAAATACCCAGGCAGGTGCTTAGTTTTGGTGGGGCTGATGGTAAGGCCCGATCTCTTAGTGGCACGCTCCAGTCTCAGCAGCAGCGTCTCCAACTCCTCTGAATGAGCGGCTATTACCAAATCATCGGCATACATAACGTGGTTGAGCAATAGGGAGCCAAACCTTGACCGCACCCGGGCATCGATCATCCTCCCATCATATCTGTACCAAATGGAGATTCCCCCAGTACAGCTATTGAAGGCTTCACGAACTACGTGGTCAAAATAGATGTTAAATAATGTGGGAGCCAGAGGACATCCCTGTCGCACCCCAAGGTGTACAGGGAATGGCTCTGACTCCCGGCCACGTAGTTTTACCCGGGCCCGCTCACCATCATGAAGGTCCTTAATGATCGTGAGCAGAGGGTCAGGGACTCCAAAAGCACGAAGAACAACCCTGAGCCCAGGCCTACTGATGGTATCATAAGCCTTAACCAGGTCAATAATGCAGAAATGTAGGTCTTGCTGGAATTCCCTACACCTCTGCTGTAGTAGACGGACAGAAAATATGGCATCTGTGCAGGACCGCCTTTTCCTGAAACCGCATTGGGGCTCCGCAAGCCTCTCCTCAGCGTGCCTGGCAAGGCGATGTTGAATAATTCTTGCCAGGACCTTTCCCGGCGCACTGAGGAGTGAGATGCCCCTGTAGTTGTTACAGTCTGTGCGGTCTCCCTTCTTAAAGAGGGGGACCACCAGGGCGTCCTTCCAATCCTGCGGAACCCGTCCAGTGGTCCAAACTGTTGTTATGATGTCATATAACACAGACACTCACACTCACTGACACACACAGCCACTCACTCACACACACAACTACTCACACACAGACACTCACACCCACACAGACACTCACTCACACACAAACACTCACACTCATACACAGCCACTCTCACTCACACACAGTCACTCACTCACACACAGCCACTAACTCACACACAGACACTGACACACAGCCACACTCACTCACACACAGACACTCACTCACACACGGACACTCACTCACACACAGACACTCACACAAAACAACCGCCATTCGCCACTAAGTGGCGGTGACGTCACCACGACGCTTGTGCCAGGCCATGTTCACCTTGAGGCCACGTGAAGTGTCGAACGCCCGCTGACAGGAGGTCACGGGGCAGACCCAGGTGCCACGGGTCGACAGCCACTCAATCACACACAGACACTCACACACAGACACTGACACTCACACACAGCCACTCACTCACACACACTCACACACAGCCACTCATTCACACACAGACACTCACACACAGACACTCAGTCACGCAGCCACTCATTCACACACACTCACACACAGATACTCACTCACATAGCCACTCATTCACACACAGACACTCACACTCACACAGCCACTCACACACTCACCCACACACACAAAAACCCACTCACACACACTCACATTGACTAATAGACACTCACTCACGTTCACTCACACCCACCCACTCACACTGCCTCACACACACTCACTCACACACCCGCAGAGACAACCCCGAACCGATGATGGCGTGATGACTTGATGGTGATGATGTGATTATGATGATTGCTTTTATAATAACGTCATGATCGTGGTGATGATTACTGATTATGGGGATTTGTCATGACAATGCTGATCACGTGACACGACTATAATGATGATGGGAATTATGTACAATTATTATAATCATGGTGATAACGATAACGCAATGATTCGTGATGTGATGATTACATGATTGTGATCATTATTGTAATAGAAGTTTATGAAAGTGAGGAGTGGTGGGGCAGTGATCAGCGCACTCGAAACATAAGTTCAATACCCTGCCACGGATAACATCAGCGGCGAGTGATGATATCTGTTCCTGTCTTGAGCCACCCCTTCCCCCCTCCAGCTATTCACCTAACCCACACTGACCAGCGTGGGGAAGTATGGTCAAACAACCCCCACTGATACCACAAGTCTTCATCCAGCAGTGGATTTATAAAACCGTTGTAAATTGGGGCCGATTATGGGAATTAGCTGATATTTTCATTTAAAAATATGATGATGAACACCGCAGTACTATTAATGATTATAATTATGATGAGTAAGAATGAATAATAATGTGATATTGACGTTAATGATGATGTAAGTCCATAGTGTTTAAACTATAAAGTCTACGAAATTTGATCTCGAGGGTTGCAATGACAGTAATATGAATGGTTATTCCGTGGGGAAGTATGGCCCAATAACCCCCCTCTATCAACGACCCGCGTGGGGAGGCCCTCATCCAGCAGTGGAGTGGCAATGCGAACGCCCGTGTACTCACCTGTTTGAGAATGAACTCGCTTTTTTTGTCAAGTCTTAATGAGCAGACATTTCCTGTGTACCAATACTCCCGTTACTATTTTGCCAGGAGGGTGATGCTTACGTTGAGTTGTTTGTCCAACCCCTTCTAACCACAACAACAACAACAGCGAGCTGTTGTTCTTCGTTCGGCAGGACAATGGAAGTCCCGGAGAAACCCCACGTGGACGACGAGATAACGTCAACACAATTCCAGGCAGATAGGTTATCGTAACCCACTGCAGTTTGATGTTTCATTCGGCTCCTTGAAAGCACCATGTCGCAGTGGGAGCAATAGCAGAGCGACATCGCGAGCTACCCACGGTGGCTAGGAGATGTTAACTACCTCGCCTGTTATGAAGGAGGTCGTGGGTTCGAGCCATGCCCTGACGCCCGCTGCTGTATATTTGGAGTTGGCGTGTCTCTCTCTGCCCGTGGTCGCGTGGAATTTTCTCCGGCTCCTCCGAAGTTTTCCCCCTCTGCAATTAGAATCGACATCGTGCGTTTTAGAGAATTTGGCTGCAATGCATTTCCTCCACACGACGATGACGAGCCACTTCCTTTGAGCTGTCATTTGTGGCCAGGCCGCGTCTGCAATAGAGCTACATAGCTCAGTGGGCCTTGCCTGGTAAAATAAAAGTTTAGTTTCTAATTTAGTTTACCAGGACTGCGGTTCCTATTTATGTTCGGGTCCGCTACTGCTGCTGTTCCTGCTGCCGTTGCTATGGGTGGGGGTGATTCTGCGTGCGTCGCCGTCTCTTTGTGTGTTCGTGTCTGTTCCTCAGTGCGTGTCGGTGTGTGTGTATGTGTATGTGCGTGTGGTGTCTGTGTGCGTGTCTATGTGCCCGTGTGACTGTGCGATAGTGTAGCGGTTAGCGCGCTGCGCTATGAACCTGGTGACCCGGGTTCGATTCCCGCTCACGGCCAACACCAGTGACGATTATCTGAACCGGTCCCGGTCCTCCCCTAGGTCGACTCAGCCTCAAATGAGTACCTGGTG